TTAGGATAGGTTAGAGTGGGGTATGGTAGAGTGTTAGTGTTGGTTTATTGGTGAAGGTGGTTGGTTATGATGGTATGTGTGGAGGTGGGCTGTATGAGGTAGGTGTAGGTGGGTGTGCTTTGGCAGATATGGGAAGATTATGTATGGGTGTGGGGGGGGGGGGGGGGGGTATACATATATGCAAAGTTGGGTTTGGGTAGGGTAGGTGGATATATGGATTTGTAATAAGGTAGAGTGTATGCGTGGGTTTTTAGGTATGGATAAGTGGCTTATGACTTATTGCTTATGGCTTAAGGGTCATGACATAGGCTTATGTTTAGTTCTTAGTCTTATGGCTTATGAATAAGGGCGAAGGGCTTAGGCTTATGGCTTATGGATTACGCCATATGACTTGGGGCTTCAGGCCTATTTCGTATGAAAATATGAAATATCTTATGATATATGTTTGACGACTTATAGCTTAGGAGTTAAGGCTTGTGGCTTATAGTTTATGGATTAAGGCTTAAAGTTTATGGCATATGGCTTATAGATTATGACTTATATCATAAGCCAGAATCCATACATCTCAAGCCATAATCCAATAGACACAATTTTTAATCAAGAAACTATAAACCATAAATCTTAAGTCATAAGCCATAATTCTTAAACCACAAACCATAATCCTTATGGCTTATAGTTTAAGGCTTACAAATTAGGGATTATAGCTTATGGCTAAATTCATATTTCTTGAATCTTAAGGTGTAGAGCTTATGACTTATAGTTAGCTTAGTCCTTAGTCCTTATTCCTTATGGCTTATCGGTTATGGCTTATGGCTTATGGATTATGACTTATGACTTAGGGCTTAGGGATTAAGGCTTATGGAGTAGGGTTTATGGCTTTTGCTTAAGATTTAGGGCTTATGTCTTGGGGATTATAAATTAGGGCTTATGACTTATGGATATGGCTTGGCGTCAAATAAACTCGTTTACACTTACACACATACGTATGGATAAAAAACTTATAACAAAATAATTGTATATTAGATTTTAATTTCATGATAGAAATAAAAACATAATTAAAACTGGTCCGCAAACCCTCGTTAAGGAAGTTATCTTTTTCAAAAAATAGAAAAATAAAAAAAGATAAAATCATTTATTTGCAGTTTTTATAGAAATAATAAAATTTCATTTTTGGTTTATTCCCTCATTCTTCCATTCCAAAAGTTTTAGATTCCCTCTACCCGAAAAGGTTTAGATTTAGTTATTCCCTCCTCTTTAAACCTATTATCAATTAACTTCAACGTTGAAACCCTTAGGCCATGAGGGATATCAGAACTTCCAATCACCTCTGCGCTCTCCATTGCACCATTGATCTAAACATCTGCTATTGACAATCAACCCATGGACCATGCCACCGTCTTTGGTTGTCACTCGTGTTACTATTACCCTATGCCGCCATAGTATTCTCGACCATCTCTGTGTGTTTTATACTACACGAATGATCCATGCATCCATTATTGACCATCGTTCCATGGCCTATGCCACCATTTCTACTAGTTGTGTAGTCGTTGATCTACCCCGTCCCTGGTATTCTTGACCATCTCTTTCCCTAATAGGTAAGCGTCCTTATTTTTATCATTTCTCTATCTGTCTGGCTTCATACTTGTTTGACACTAGTTCACAAATTCACCAAAGAAATCATACTAAAACTTGGTACCTTTACACATCACGTTGCAATTACTATTACATCACATTTCACTATGTTTTTCAGTTTTTCGTACTATATACTATTGCTACACAAACACAATGCTCTAAATTGAGAAACTATGCCTACAATAATACCTTAATGTTTAACTAGTTTCATCAGAACCATGTTTTCATGTAATTCAAGAGAACCTCTTTTATATAGTTCCACCTAGTGTACCTGAGGCCTATAGGAATGGTAAGGGCACATTGCTACAAATGATAGTATGTGGTTGATAGTGCTGAAGATTCAGGGAACTGTCAGCCTTATCCATCTACCTTACTTAACATTTAGAGGCAACATTCAATTTTTTTCTATATATAATATGTTTATATATGTTAATATAGTTTTTGTGTTTGACCTTTGAAGTTGTATTTATGTATGATTGAGATAAATTGTTGGGTTTTTGAATGTTGATAATAAATGTGGTTCATGGAAGTGCAAGACAATTATTTTAATGCGTGTAGAGACTGAAATCTCATTTTAAGAAAATTATTATGACTAGACAAAAACAACTATAGAAGGACACAAGTATTCAAGTCCTTTTGCATTTGTGTTTTATCATTGTTATATTTTTTGTGCTAGTTTTTGTTTTTTCATTTGGGACTTTAACTTATTTAGGTAATTGCAAAAACCACCAAGAAAACAGTTCAAACTAAATCTGTGACTACAACTCCCAATACACCATCGCCTTCCCTGAAACTTGTAATACGAGTAGGTACTTACTCTCTAGTTTTCATTACTTTTAAATTCTCTTTTGTATTAAAATATAATTTTACATATATGTCTTAAATCTTTATATTAGGCAAATACAAAAGCCATCATAAAAGTTGTTGAGTCTAAGATTACCACTATCAATCCTGAGATACTAACAGTTTTACCAATAAATCCCCTTCACCAGGTCAATGTATTTTACATACTAAATATACATTTCTGTCTTTTTTTTATTCTAATATTACATATCATTATAGCCAATCAAGTGTAGTCTATGATATCCGGATAAAAGGAACATCGTTGCTCGTGGTACCGTTCACTTATCATCAGAAAGACAATTCATTATTGGAGCTCCTCTATAAGATGATTGCTATAAAGTGTTCATTGCTGTTAATAAAACAAGATTTATTTCTACCCCATGAAACTACAGAATACAACATAGTTGAGCAGACATATAAAAGTTTTGTTCCATGGTGAAAATACCCTGTAAAAGTCGGTTCAAAGGTTTGTTTATGTTAACTTCTTTGTGCATTACACTTTTTTTCCTTCACAAACTACTCTACTAAGTTTTTAATGTACTCATTTTTTGTTTCAATATTGCTGGTATGGGTCCCTAATATGATATCACCTCAAGACATTAAACTTTAAAACTCAAAAAAACGGAAACCAACTTATATATCATCTGATGTCATTCTTAAGAAGATAATGAGCAATACCAATGAATGCTTAGTTATATCTATTTTATAGTTTATGACGTTTTTGATTTATCTACCATATCTTAATACTTCTAATTAGTATATATATATATATATATATATATATATATATATATATATATATATATATATATATTGTATTTTAATTATGAATTTAATGTATGAATTTGGATTTCAATTTTATAATATCTAATTCTGAATTTTAATATTATTATATATTGTCGGGTTTTGGATACTTGAATTTATATTCTTTTGATGTGCCTACAATATAGAAAAAGTAATAATAAAAAATGAATTATTGTGACTTCAATATAAATTTGGCCATGTTTTATAGTTTTTCAATATCTCTAAAATTATACAATAGCAACTTTACATTGATTTTGACATGTGGCTAAACAGTTAACAATAGTCATAATATAAAGTAATTATGTGTCTACAATTGTTTTAAAATCTTGTTTTTCTAAAGTTTTTGTGACAATAAATTAAACAGTAACCACATTAAAAAAATTGATGTGACAAATAAATAACATAATTGATTGTTTTTGTAACTAATTATTAGCAAATTGCTACTTATGAAATTAATTAAATGTGACCATTTAGTAAACATGATCATGTTTACTGTAATTACATGTTTTTAAAAGATACCCAATAGTCTTTATACGATACCCCAATAGTCCTTAATTTTTATAAAATGTGTGTCTTTATAATACTTATCATCGTGTTTTACTTAATTGTGTGTCACTATACGATAGACAATAATCACCAAAGTCGATTGTTTTTGTGACTAAGTATTAGCAAACCGTCACTTATGGAATTAATTCCATGTGACCATTTAGAGAAAACATGGTCATACTCACCGTAATTACATGTTTGCAAAAAATACCCAATAGTTTTAATAAACTTTAAACCGTGTGACAACATATTAGAAAAAAAACCACACTAAAACAACATGCATGTCGCGAGTTGATGATATACAATCACTAAAATTACTAAATAAATATGTACTGACGATTTAACGCCATAATATTGGATAAAATTATTGATTTTAGGAACAAAATTTCCTACCCAATTGCCACACTTTTATAATACGACCACATGTTATCGTATGATATGGATACTATATTTTAAAGTGACCATAAGACCTATACGATGACATCACCTTCCGTCACACTTTCAGTGAAAAAATAAAATGTCACTATATGTATATAGTCACACTTTTATGGTGTGTCCGTAGGTAATTTTTGTACTAGTGTTAGGTGAAATTAAAACGGATTTTCATAAGCAAAAAAAACAAAAATCCGTAATAGAGGTTTTCATAGTCATCATCAACTCTCAAAACGTCGTTTTGATTTCAAGAAAAAAAAAAAGAAAAAAAATTATTGATGACATCATTTTTTTTTTTTTGCAAATGATCATCTACCGCAAATTGTGACTATTTGGGTTATTTTCCTTATTATTATTATTTTTTGGCTATTTCCTCATAAAAAGTTTGAAAATAATGACTATTAAACATTTTTAATTAAAAAGATTCACCAAATAATCTTTTAAGAATCTAATGAAAAAAAAAAAGTAACAATCACGTAAATGAAAATGTTGCATAGGGAATTGGAACAAATATTTCGTAGAGAAGACTGAAACACCAGCCAGATAGTACTAAAAGGTAGCCCCTGGCCCAGACGAGGATTTCCATTTATAGTATGTAGTCATCAGGAACTAGATCTCCTAACCCCCTTTTCCCCTCCGATGGAACTTCCATCTTCTTGCATCATATTTGATCACCCTTCTCCCTTTTTGTCTCGATCTTCCGGTGCGTTTTTGGTCTATTGAGGCAAGATCCTAGCGCAACAATGGAGAAAAATGGAAGTATGAGTGAAAGTAACATGCCAAAAGACTACAAAAGTGGAGGGAGAGCAACAAATAAAACCATTAATATAAAAGACGGGAAAGCTCTGGTAGATTCTTGCTTGGAAAGTAGCACTGGTCAAGCAAAATTTCGTGACGGAGGAGATTTGCTTGGTGAGTTTCCATGGCCTCCCAGATCATACACGTGTACTTTCTGTAAAAGAGAGTTTCGATCTGCTCAAGCACTTGGTGGTCACATGAACGTTCATAGGAGAGAAAAAGCGAGACTTAGACAAATAACTCCCCCAAAGTATCTTGGTTTTCTTCATGCACACCTAAACCTTGATCGAAACCCTAACCCTAACCCTAACATGTCAACGACTTTTGCATTAAAGACATCATTGTTTCCATCAATGCTCTGATCCCCTTCTTCAGTACAAACTTCTTCGTCTTCTCTTGCATTCTTTGCTCCTAGGTTTAATAAACTATGTCCTTCAGCAAGAGCAAATTTCACTGCCATGAGATCGCAAAAATCAGACCTAACAGTTGATGGCTTTTATGATTTTTGTCATGAAGAAGAGAGTCTGATTGTCAAGAAGCCAGAGAATGGTTCTTTTGTAGACTCGAAGTTTGATGATTTAGATTTGGAACTTCGACACAACAAGAAATATAACTTTTAGGGGCGCCACCATTAGGGATGACATGTACCTTTAGGGATGACATCCGACAATTCGCCTTTTTGTCGTCGCTAAAGGTCACCGTCGCCGCTAATAGTGTCGTCTCTAAAGGGTGGTACCAGCGATCCGTGTGAATGCCTCCAAATCAACTTCTGGCCCTACGATTACATCTTGATCCGACGGATGGGGTTAACGAAAAAATTGGCACGTGTTTTCCCTCCAACATGTCACCGCTAATGGTTAATTCAGTGTCGCTAAAGGCGTCGCCCCTAAAGGGTGGCCTTTTTGTTCCCCTCCAGGTAGCAGATCGCAAACCAGGTATCACCTCCACTCCATTTCTCTCTCGTTCTTCCGGCGATTTCAATGCTTCTCCGGCGACTGGTGACTCGTTTTGCATCTTCCATCGACTATTAACCACCGGTGCACCCCACTTCTTCAACCGGAGTGATTTCTAGCTCCTCACCGGCACCTGCTCCACCGGCGAAGTGCTCCACCGGCGACATTCTGAGTTTCCGACGTATTTCTCCACCGACAAAGGTTTGTTTTCCTTTTTGATTTCCACCGTTTTTTGTTTTTGTTTCCATTTCTCTTTCTTTTTTTTGTTAATTTTACTGCTTTTGGTGGTCTTAAGGAGATTTCCCCATTACAACCACCAATCACCGCCACTACTGCCTGTCTCCGGTGAATTCCCAACCTCCACTGCCACCATCTCCACTATTTTCAGTTCTAGTTCTACAACCACAACCACAACCACAACCACAGGTGCATTAATATACTCTGTTTATGTATGAATTTGATATATATATATATATATATATATATATATATATATATATATATATATATATATATAAATGTGTATTAATTTGATATATGTGTGTATATATGTATATATGAATTTGTATTATCTATAAATTATAATACAGTTTTTTTATAATTGAGTTTTTTTTTCTACCTAGGTTTGTTAATTGTATATAACCTGTTATTTTGTAGGATAGTTATTTTGTTTTTTATGTTTTGGATTGTCAAATTAATCAAAATTTTATATATAGTAATTGCTGATTGTGATTTTTCATTTTGACTTTTAAGAATATTATATTTTGTCATCATTTTTTACATTGTTAACTATATTATGACATTTCTTAATTTATGATATGTTTTTGTCGATTTTTGACCTAAATATCTTGATAGTAATCATTTGTGTAAACATTGCATACCCTATATCTTTTTTCTAGATCCGTTCCTGCACTCGTGTCATTTTTTTGGGTTGCATTGGTTCATCTCATGGCTGCTGTGATGGGCCATGGAGATGATGGTGGTGACGAGCCACCACATTCATTCGATGGAGATTTTGGTGTTCACCAGATTGATGGTAATTAAGATTTATTCTAATTCATTATATTTCATATTGTATATATATAAAAAACTATATTTAAATTTATTAATATTTTTTGCAGCTGTACCTCCCAGACGAAGAGGCATGGCAGTAAACAAGAAAATGCATCAGCTATATGAAGCAAACGGCAGACAACCTCTAAAAATAATATTTGACAGGAATACTTTTGTGCCGATTGGGGATGTATATGAATGCTTCATTCGGGAGGTTGGAAGTTATATCTGGCGACATAGCTTTGGATAAGAACACCTGGAAAAAAGTTCCTGAAGCTGATCGAAATGGCATGTTTACATATCTTTCGGTAATTATTTATAAAGTTATATTTAACATGTTTAATTTTGATTTATTTTTAAATTCTATATTTTTGTAGACATATTTTGATTTTCAAGCCATTTCAAATGATCCCGATGCTAGAATTTTATGGGCATCACTGAACCATCGGATAGTCAGCGGTATAGAGGCCGCAAAAATATTTCAAAAAGTAAATTTATAGATATGCTAGACGGTGCGGAGGCAGCAAGGGATCGACCCCCTGTGGGTATGGATTCAGCGCGTTGGAGTGCTACTATTGACCACTTCTTAACTGATACACATTGTAAACGATCTAGTGTAAACAAAGAATGCCGAAAGAAGCAAGTAGTTAAAAATCGTGGAGGGACGTGCAGCTACGGTAGTACTTCTTTCAAAAATGTAAGTTATATTAATGTTTATTTAGTTATAACATATTTTGTAATGTTTATTTTAGTATAACATATTTTTTTTAATGTTAAACAGAATTTGAATAAACTTAAAGTATTTCATCGTGCACATGTTAATAAACAAGGGGAATTTGTTGACCCATTAATTGAAGAACAATATGTAAGTTATTATTACTTAAAAATGAAGTAGAATATTGTTTTTTTTTTGTGTTTGTTTTGAAGTATATTAACAATCTTCGTGAAATGCATAATGCTTTAGTTGCTGAGGTTGCTTTACAAACCCAACACATAGCCGACTCCGGTGCTGATCCGAACTCCATTGATTGGATAGCCTTATTTGAGAAGGTGTTAGGTGTTCGAAGGGGACATGTGAGAGGCATCGGGCCTAAGCCTTCCGTAGCGGGTACAAGTGCTCCGACCCAGTGGTAGTGACAGTTACAGTCACAAACACCACAACCAACACAAATACTTATTAATTTGTTGTGAATTTTGTTATTTGATAGTTTGGTAACTTGTTAGTTTGTTAGTTTGTTAAATTGTTATGAATTTGGTAGTTTGTTAAATTGTTAAGGACTTCATGTGTTTGTGACTTAATTGTTAATTAATAATAATTTGTTCTTATACTATGATATATTTTAACTTATATTCTTACTTTGTAGGATGTGGATGTTAACGCTTTTCTCCAAAACCCGGTGTTTGTGATTGCACTTTGAGATATTATCCGCTCATTTAGCAAGCAAGTTGACAATGCGACCAACAACGATGAGGAAAACGATGATGAGGACAATGATTAATATATATTGTTTTATGATATTGATGATGTTATTATGGATTTAGATGATGTTAATGTGATATACTTTCTCTATGTTATTTGATGTTTTATGTAATGCATATTTTTAAATATAAGTTTTATAATTTTATAAATTCTGTATTTTTATAATATAAACTAATATAAAATATAAATTTTATCTAAAAAACAAGCATTAGTGGCGACACCTTTAGGGATGATCTTCAGCATTAGTGACGACACATCCCGCCGGAATATTTGGCCGGAATAATATTGGCCGGTTGCCGGAATATTATTAGAGACGCCACCTTTAGGGACGACAAATAGTATTAGCGACGACAGGTATTAGGGACGACACCTTTAGGGACGACTTTTGAGTATTAGCTGCGAGGTATTTGCGGCGACCCAATTGGGACGACATATCGTCCCTAATACCTTTAGGGGCGACTTGCTTGACTATTTGCGACGCATTTTGTCGTCCCTAAAGGTGTCATTTCTTGTTGTGCGACTTGGGTATTCTTAGCTTAATTTTGATGCTGTAACTAGCATACCCAAGTAGGGCAGGACATTTTTAACAAATTTTAAACCTTCAACATTTTTTATGAAGTCCAGAAGAGAGTTATGACTGGATTCATAACATCTTGTTGAACCTGCAATATATGATCCTGATATATCTTATAGTTTGTGCGTTACATGGTTAGTTTCTATGTTATGTTCTCAAGATAGTGGGTTTTTTTCGTGGATATTGGGTATCATTGTTTTGATCATGATGATGTTTAAGATCATGCTTGTCGCATTTTTTAGTAAATTAAAGTTTTATTGCTATCTCGATCAAATGGAGAGCGTAACGTTATAATATAATTATTTTACCATATATATAGTTTTATGGATCTATCCAGCCATCCTGGTCGACCAACAAATTTGTAATGATATTAATTAATGGGCTAAAACATGATCATAAAAAAAAGTAAAACTCTTCAATAAATACTTCATATAATACAATTTTAATGAGATCTAACAGAAGGCGAGTGTTTTATGAATTAGTATATCGATATCTTTTAACAGAAGACGAGGATAGATTTTCTAAAAGTAGGAGTAGCAAGAAGCTAGATGAAGATATTTATAGACTTCAAAATGGGAAGTGGAGGGCTACTCCAAATTTCAGTCTAAATTACATAAATTCATGTGATTAATCACGCAAAGATAATAATATTAATTTCTTCATCTATTTTCTGATGTAGTGTTCTCCAGATTTTAAAAAGGAAGTTCGTTCCCAACTTTCCAAAATCTAAATACTCCAACAAACTACATACATGATAGTACAGAATAGGCTGGTACAAGCCTATTTGAGACATCGAGCAAAATATAAAAATAAGGCCGTATAGAAAAATAGTAAAGGCTTACATCTTTTTTGTTTTTGTTTTTTTTTTTTTTGTTTTTTATTAAATGGGAAGTGGAGGGTTACTCCATATTTAAGTCTAAATTACATAAATTCATGTGTTTATTCATGCAAAAATTATAATTTGAATTTCTTCATCGTTCCTAGCATTCCAAAATCTAAATACTCCAACAAACTACATATAGTGCCGAATATACCGGTCCAAGCCTATTTGAGACCCAAACAAAATATAAAAATGAGACCTTTTATAATACTCCAACAAACAATGTATTTTTATTTTATTATTTTTTTTAAATGAATCCGTCATTATAAATTTAAACATAGATCGCTTTTGTAATAGTATTAATTATTTAGATCTCCATTTTTTCATTTACTCACTACAAGATATATGTTTCAATGCATCATGTTATTATTTTGAACTTATAAAATGCTAATGAGAAAAAACAAGTAAAGAACCTAGTTGTGAACTCGTGATGTGGAATTGTTTTCCAACAACAAGGGTAAAATTTCTAAATCGATTTCCATGCTTCAGTTAACAAGGATTTTAAAACTTATTATGTTGAGGTTTCAAGTTATTTACCTAAAATCAGAAAGAAATCACTTTAATTAACTTTTAATTAAACAAATAACATCAAAGACATATAGAATAATGACGGAATTTACATGAATTAGATTGTCACAAATCAGAAATCAAATTAACATGAACCATAAATCAGAAACCAATATCAGTGAGGTAGGCTAAAATCAGATTAACAATAATGCATGATCGATTTTTTAAGGCTGTGTGAAACAGATTATCATAATCGATGTATTAAAAAAGATTAAAATCAGAAATTTGCGTGAAAAAATCAAAATCAATTTAATATGAATCGATTTTTTTGTTACTATTGGAAAAGTAAAAATTTCTTCAAAGAGTTCTTCGATCATTGATGGTGAGAGGCCCATTACAATGATTATTCTAGAAGAATCGTATATCTATTAGTGTTCTACGTTGATTTTGTTTTGGCTTCAATTTCTTTCCTTTTTCCTCTAAGCTTCTATACATGATATGTCAAAGTTTATTTCCCTGTACTAACATAATAAGATATATAAAATGGGACCTCAGAAATTTGGAGGCTCTAAGTGATCGCCCAAGCTGCATCACCTATTGGAACAAAAGACCTAATGTCATGTCTAAATTGGAAGGTGTGGGTCAAACACTAATAACTTTTAATTGCTTATGAATTACAATATACATACAGTTGTTTTAAAACTGACAAAAAATGTTTGTCGTAAAACAAATGTCGTTATTTTGTGTAAACTAAAATATTTATGACAAAGAAGTATGTGTTGTAAACTTTTGTCATTTTTTAGTAACATTTACGACATAAAAAATAGTATGTCATGTGATAAGTGTTTGTTGTCCCTTGTGGTAGATCTGAAGGGTCCACACATATTAATGTGTACAAGCTAGATCCAACAATCATTGCCTCCATTAAATGTCGATGTGAATGGTGATTAAGTCATCTTGTCGACAAACAAGACTCGCATACATCATCTAACCTAAAATCGAATGATTCCAAGTGTAGTCCAGTTGAAGCTTGGCAATGTGATTCTTACTTATGTAGCCAAGACGATTATGCCACAATTGCGTTCTTATCTAAACTATTAGAAGAATCAATATTAAAGTTAACCTTACTATTACTAGAAACACAAAATACAATTTCATTAATACCAAATGCAACAAGATGTTTTAGACAAAAAAAACCCATTATCTTTATAAACTAGAACTGTAACATTTTCATTAACAAATGAAAATTGCAATTCATGTTTACACAAAACAAAAAATGAAATTAGGTTTCTAAACATTTCCGAAGAGAAATTGAAAATAACCCGATCTTTCTTAACTTCACTACTAAGCACAAATTCTAAATCCATAATAATCAAGACATGAAACTCTTCCTTTCCAATGATTAAGTTTAACTCTTGATGCTTAAACTCCCTTCTTTCATTTAGATCCTACAATGCCATCCAAATAAGACTAGCACATCATGCATCAATGATCCACGAATTGAATGTATTTAGAGTTTGATTATATAAATACTTGAAGTAGAGTCAAACATTTGACTTTGCCATCTCCAAGTACTTAGTGCAACTTCTGTAACATCCTGATTTTCAACCCAAAATATTTGTTTTTATTCATTTAAAATATTCATTTTCATCAGAGTATTTCTTAAGTTATGCAGAAACATGATTGCGAAGGTGCACATGTATAGTCAAACCATGCCCTTCTTATGAACCAATGAAGTTCCTGGAAACATTTAAAAACAACTGGGTAAACGCTAACTTTAGAGAGTTCCCCCAATACACCATATACCATAATACTTATGCATGCATATAAGTAATGGCTCCCCATACTTTAATCGTTCCGCCATAACATCTACTCTGTTCTATAGGCTCTGGTAATTATTTCGTTCCGCCATCAACCCTAACTACACAGGCACGGAGCTATAGGCTCCCTTAGTTTATTCGTTCCACAATCAACCCTTACTATCTTTTAAGTAAACCAACAATTATGAACATAGATACTACAAATTCAACTTTACAGGTACATAGGTAACTACACTATGGGTTCTACTCTACCGGCTCTTATATCCTAACGTACATGGATATATACTGGAATACAAAATATAGTGAGATGAACTCACCTAGACAGTTACTTTGACGATTAACATCTATCCAGATGATTCTAATGATGTGCAACGAGTCTAATGAGTATTAACCTATAATACTGTAACTTATTAGATCATAAAGGAATCAGGTAATATAGGCTAGAACTACCACTAATCCCAATAAATATCGATAGTTCTAGCAAGTAAGGATCAGACAGTCAGGACAGTTGGGAGGCAGGATCATTTCGGTATATAGCTTTTATGTAATCCAACAACTAAGCCAACATGACCATTCTAGACACCTCTCCTGTAAGTAAATTAATCAGTATTTTGATTTGGAATTATCGATAAATCTTATTTATAGGTTCATAATAATGAATTTTGACTATAAATATAAGTTACACTGAAAACAAAAGAGTGTAGCTTAACTTATAAAAATTTCCCAGACAAAGTTCGAAAATTGCCCTAGCAGAACTCCGACCTGGTAGGTACTAGTTATCTGGCTCTTCTGGGCCTTAAAGCTTCACCAAACTATCATAAATACTAAGAAAATTTCGGAACTATAAATTAAAATTCTGATATATATATATAT